CCTTGGTGGATGGTACCCATTGTCCACCTGGTAGTCGTAGTAAACAGATGTATGATTCACTTTGGGCAGATGCTTGTGAGGATCATGCTTTCTGTTTGCATACTTTTGCATAGCCTTCTTTGTTGGAAAGAAGTCCCATATACTATCAAGATCAGAGGAGCGCTTAACTTTAGGCTTCTGAGGTTGACCAGACAACCTCTTCTGTCTATAGTTAATTTTCTCTTGATATCTGCCTTTCTGATAGCAGTTTCTGATACTGTTGTCATGAGGTTGTCTGAAAAGGTTTGGCCTTTGATTATTATTTATCTAAAAACTTTTTCTGTGGTTAGGTCTTCTGCCAGATTCATTAGTTTTTAAAGTTTGTTTTGGTTTGGCCTTTAGTTTTTGGTTCTCTGGTGGTACTTTCTCATGAACAACCTTAGTACCAGAGGTACTAGCATGGCAGATGGGGCCACAAGTCTGTGAGACCATGACCTTTTTGGCTTTAGCAACTTGGGTGCTAGGCCTTACAGAAGGTTCATCAGACTTGGGTTCAACATATCCAAGACCAGGGGTAGAATTGTGAAAGTCATTGATACCCTTCATAGAAGATTGCATCTTCAGAAGGCTATTGTATCTGACTTCAAGATGTTCAATCTCTCTTATTCTCTTTAGAAGAAACTCATTTTCAGCTTTCAGCTTACTGTTCTCTTCTTTAATAAAGGAATAAGAACCTTGGATAGTTTTGAACTCTTCCCAAAATGATGACATTGGATCATCATTTAAGGCTTTGCCTACCGAAGAAGAAATAGAGTCAGCAGTCGAATATACCTCATCATCAGATTGAGCCATGAGGCAGAGATCTTCGGTCTCTGTATCTAAGCAGCAAAAAGCTTCATCAGAGTCAGAATCTGAGCTGGACTCTGATTCAGAGAGTGGATCTCTCTCAGCTTGTTCTGAGACGAATGCTCTTCTTCTTCTGTGTTGATCTTCAGGTTTCTTTTCTTCTTCATGTCCTTGCCTCTTGGACACTCTAGGGAATGGACAGTTAGCCTTGAAGTGACCAGGCTGTCTGCAGTTGTAGCAGAGGTATTCTCCATTGCTTTCAGAAGATTTGCTCTTCTGATGTGGTCTTCTGATGGAAGATGGACTCCTTCCATCTTTCTTCATAAATTTTCTGAACTTCCTGGCAAAAGCAGCCATATATTCGTCAGATAATAAAGTAGAGGGGTCAAAGTTACTTACCTTTGAAGTGCTGGCAGTGAGGGCAGTTGTGGTTCTCTCATCTGGCACTTCTTCTTTCTCTTCAACCATCTCGAACTCATAAGCTTTGAGATCTGAGATCAGTCTCTCTGTGGGGTAGGTCTTGATGTTCTTGCTTTCTTGGACTGCAATCACCTTCATTTTCCATGCTGAAGGCAGTCCTCTGAGGATCTTCATGTTGACTTCTTTGATGGTGAGTTCCTTGCCAAGTTCAGAAATCTCACTGATGAGGATCAACAGTCTCTCATGCATCTTGGCAATGCATTCTTCTGGGAGGAGTTTGAAGTCATCAAACTTCTTCATGGCAATGGTCAGTTTATTGTCTCTCTCCTGTTCATCTCCAGCTCCAATCTCATCCAGCTTGTCCCAGATTTCCTTTGCAGTCTTGCACTTCTTGATTCTATTGAAGTACCTTTCATCTATGGCCTTATAGAGAATGTCCTTGGCTATGTTGTCAAGGTTGTACTGTCTCTTTTCTTCCTTGGTCCATTCAGACCTGGCCTTCTCAATCATCTGGGGCAGAGAATTGTCATTAGTGTGAGCAAGGTTGACCTTCATGAACTGAATGAAGGGGCCATTCTCCAAGACTTCCCACATTTCATCATGAAGAGCACATAGATGTGCCTTCATTCTGATTTTCCAATCATCATACTTCTGATCTGTGAACATAAGATGCTTTGCAAGAGAGTTATCCATAATAACAAATAAAGAGGCTGGAAACAAGTGGATCTTTGTTTAGAAGGTAACCTAAAAGATTACAAGAACAAGGAGGCTCTGATACCACTTGTTGGTCCCGTTTGAGTTGGTAATCAGTCTGGGGGGGGGGTGAATAGACTGATTCAAGTTTTTCAACTTTTCTCTAAGATAGAGTTGACTTATCAGAGAGGGTAGAGTTCTGATAATCAGAACTGGTCTTGCAGCGGATAAGAGTTCCGGGTAGCCTCAAAAATACAAAGGCAAATGCCTTTCTGATAACTCTGAGAACAAGATCTGCTGAACACAGATTCCAAGTCTTAGAGTTAAACAGTTAAAATCCTAAGTGCAGAAATTAAATGCAGTAAAGTAAATGACACCGGAGTTTTTATAGTGGTTCAAGGAACAACGCGTTCCTCTAGTCCACTGTTCCACTAAGCTTGTAAAGATCAATTACAACGCCTTAGTCCCTAGCACTTAAGAAGTTCTCCACGCCTTCTTCAAGTCTAGTTGTCACCCGGGATGCAATCCTGCTTCCTGATGACTGGTCCTTTCACTCAGCTTCCCGGAAGTATCACCACTTCACTACTGCAGTTACTTGGACGCCCTTCTTTGCAGAAGATGTTCTGAAAACAGAGTTTTCTCCAACTTGCTTCGTTACAAAAGATATGTAGTTGAAGTACTTGAAGGTTGAAGAATAGGATGAACTTTGTTGTGTGTTGGGATTTGAGAATATGGATATTTGAATCTTCCCAACGTAAGCTTGTCTTGTTGATGATTGTAGAGCTGTGAATCTCAAGAGAGCTTGAAGTATAATGAGCAAAAGTTGTAGCAAAGTTGTTTTCCTGTTCTTCGGTGTGTAGCTTATATACTGGGGTTGTCTGCCCGTTGGAGGAGGAGACAACTGCATTGAATGCACGTACTGTTGACTTGACCCACTGTTTTGGAAGCATTCTATTTTTATAATATATCTTCCAGATTTCTCGGTCAATCATTTGCAATCAATCCAAAGCGTATCAGGCTCATTTAATGAGCATTAAATGCTTTCCTTGGACGGAATATCTTCTAGCCGTTGATGAATTTCCCAGCCGTTGGAAGTAGCTTTGAAATTCTTCTAAGTGTTAGTCGGACTCTGATCGGAGTCTTCTGATACGTTGGATTCTGATGGCTTTCTGAAGAGTGGTTCTGATGTAGCTTCAAGTCGAGCTCTGGTGTGGGAACTCTGATGCTTGTCTGATGTTGAGTTCTGATGAAGCTATACATCGAACTCTGATGACTCTCTGATGAGCAACTCTCATGATTTCCGAGAGCGACTCTGAAAGTAGTTCTCATATAGCAGCTCTGATCAGATCCACAAAAGAGCAACTCTGATCGTTGACTACATTAATACTTACAATTGTAAATTCTAATACACAAAATCTAATTGGGGTACTTTAAAATTCTAATCTAATTATCCTAGCATCATCAAAATCTAATTACATTTATTCCTTACACTATCATAATTATAATTTAGATAATTAGAAATTATGTTGAATATTTGATTGGAGTAATATTACGATGTCCATATGGCAAGAGTTATCTCTCTAAGAGTGGAATATTTGATTTTATTATCATCATTGGCTGGAGTAATATTATGATGTTATGGTTGAAGTGGCTGAATCGATTAATTATGTTGAAATTTATTAAATTTTGACTGAAGTGGCTAGATGGCTAGATTTTGCTGAATTATGAAAAAATTATATTAAAAATATATTTCATTAATGAAATAAATAAAAAGTTATATAAAAATGACTAAAGAGGTCATCTACATTAATATCAGCCAATTCAGCCGGAAAAGTAACACATATATTACTTATTTTAAATAATTATTACACAATTCATTGTGTGAAACTAAATGTTACGGAGTACATGTTTGGTGAAAAGATGGTATAAGGCTGATAGGACAAAAAACATGATTACCAAACGGGCTCTTAGAATTTTATTTTATAACATAAAAGGGTTATAGGTATCCTTGAAAAATCAAATTAAATGCAAACTGTTCACCACAAGTAATACAACGCTAACTAACATGAGTAAAATATGCAAATTGATTATAAGTTACCAAAGTGGTAAAGTTTGGGATTGAGATGAGTTATGTTGCTCATATGATATATATCTTCATATGTTCTTATGGATGTGTAAGTCCAAGCAGTTCTATTTAATTCAAGGTTCAAAAGCTAATCAGCCCATATATTGTGTTCATGGTCCTTAAAACCTATCGTCATTTACAATTGTTTCACGCCCCCTCATTTCCATTTAAAATAACAAAAATGTGGCTAAAATTATTTATGACTTCACTAAACAAATTTCAATCACACAGTGATGAATTTATCATTCTATATGAGTCAAATATAATCAAGTTTTATGGGACAAAAGGATAAATACCAAAAAAAATACAACCGAATAACATAATCACATACTCCCTCCGTTCCGTTGGAATGTTCTCGTTCACTATTCATTGGTCAACTTAGGTCACTCCTAATCTTTTACTTTATATATCAAATATTTATCAAATTAAACTTTTCTTGATCAGGCTTTGTAGTGGTTTTAATGTAGTTTCTGAATATGTAAATTTTATTTACTAAAAATAAGCGGAGTGTGAACAGGGATCGAGTTGCTTTATCGTCAGTCAAGCATCGTAAACCGACCGGGAACATTCCAACGGGACGGAGGTAGTACTTTAAAGTCATATAGACATATTTTTCACACAATAAATGGTTGACATGGAATACAACTGATCTGACAATTTTTAAAATATGGAGGATATCTCATTAACTATTTACAAAAATCGCATAATAATTAATGTAATAGCTCTTTATGGGAATGAACAATATTTATAAGAACGAATTCAGAAATAAAAGAAAATAAATATAGGCTCTCTCCATTTGAAAAGTAAGAGTAGTCAAATCATAACCAAGAGAAACGTCCGTACGTAGTATTATTTGGCGAAGACATGCATCTCTTCGAAACATCTCATCTCATCTTTTAAAAAGACATACGCAGTTTGGAGAAGATGATCAAAGATAGTCAAAGTAAAAATGTCGTCTGGTCAGAAAGATAACCGCAAGAAGAAGATGAAGGGAGTTGATAAATGTCCGGTTCCACCGCCGCGCTTCACCAACTCTCCGGCGGCGACGCAGCTAAACTTGTTCCAACGCGAGGCATTGGCGTCTTCATCTGCCAACCCGCTGCTGCCGTCCAATTTCGACACCGCTCTCCGCTTAAGCAGCGGCATTTCGGACCAGCAGGCATCGGAGCAAAGCGGAGGAGACTCGGAATGGTTGTCGTCTTTAAAGGCCTACGCTGCATTGTTGCGCAGCGAAGACAACAACAAGGACGCGGATGTTGTTCATCATCCCCGTCCTATGACTGTTCATGATCTGCACAAAGATCTCCCCACCATCCAAAATATTGCCAAAAACTATGTAAGTCGTGAATCTAGAGTTTCCTTAGTCAAACAATCTCATTTTGTTCACTTAATTTAGATGTCAATTTTTTATTATGTTCTAATTTGGAGTTTACAACTTTGAATAGATTTTAATGTAGTTTATGAATATGTAAATTTTAATTATTAAAAGCTGAATTAATTATCTATACGGAGGATTGACTTTTATTATTGATTGACTAAAAATTGTTGACTTTGCAAAACAAATTGAGACGGAGGGAGTACTTTGTATTTTCTTTGTCCCGAATTGATTTGGCGCACTTTTCAAAGTTGATCAACTGTAAAGTACATACCAAGTATTTTTTTCAACACTTTTTACTAGTGTTAGTCTCATTCTCATGCAAATATACTTTAAGACCCAATAAACATGATAAGTAACACATAGTAGAAAGGAGGCATTCTGTTGAACGTATACACTGTTGTAGTGTTGTTGTGTTGACTATGTTGACTAAATTTACAAAACTATTTGACTGTTGAGTCTTTCTAAATAATCTTTCCATTGTAGAATCAAATAATAACCGGTTTTCATTTCTACTGTTCATCTTCTTCATGTATCAATGAAATAATCTTTTAATCATGCATTCCCATCTTTATAGCATTTTTACCATAAGTGAATCGCTTAAGACTTTTAACTAGTATGGATATACTTTTAATTATGAAGCTTATAAATTTGACTACATTCATTCCTTTTTATTTAGCAATTTTTAACTTTTTAGGTCAAAATGGTAATTTTTGACCAATTATTTTAACTAACACTGAGTACGTTTATATAAAATTTAATAATTTATACATTTATTATAGTATTTTGATAAAGGGCATTTTAATATCATTTTCGTCATATCACTATAATATTCATATGTTCAAATATATAATTGGTCAAAGTTTGATAGGATTGACTTTAAAAGTCAAATATATAAAAAAAGTTGTACTTTGTTAAATTCTTTTTAATAGAGTATATCTAATAAAAAATATTTTTATAGCATTTTTGTATATAAATATTCTCTCATCTCATATATAGATACTCCATATATTATTAGTTAAAGTTTATTACCCTTCCGTTTTTTATTAAAAGGTATCACCTTCTTTTGCGAATGTCCTAGTTAAAGATTTGTAATTTCTATTTTAAAAATAACTAGCACACTTAAATAAATTGAGTCATTAAACATTAAAAATAACACGTATGTAGCATTATAGTTATCATTTTTGAGCCTCTTAATATACACCATAATATATTCATCAAATTTGTTTCACAAAATATACTCAAATTACTCTATTTAAGTGTGCACTACAAAAAAAAGGCGCTATTGGCACGGAATTTGGCACGGACTTATCAATTTTTCGTGCCAAATAGCTCGTGCCAAAGTGTTTTTGGCACAGATTTGGCGTATCCCTGCCAAAATCCGTGCCAAATCCGTGCCAAATTCCCTGTCAATCCCGTGTATTTTTTGTAGTGGTGCTACCTTCCAAACTAGAGGTAGTATTAAGTATTGATATCCATGGGCGGAGCTAGGGGCGGGAGGCCCTGGCCCACCCCAATTTGAAAAATGACTTGTTTTTTGAGGTAAGAAATGTCGTGTAAATTTTTTCTAAAACTATTCTTTGTACCTGCCCGGCCGAGTGCCCAGCTCCGCCTCTGCTCGTATCATTGAATGAATAAGAATTATATGTTGGGTTTTAATCATAGTTTGATAACATTATACAATGTATTTAATTTGATGATGCTTAAACTAAACACATGCAGAGTGATCGTGTGAAGGATATAATGGCAGAAATGTTCACTCAACATCTGGTGACTCTCTCTGCGGCGGAGAAGAGGGTTATAAACGACATGAACGACAGGCACGATGAAATGCTGGCGAGAATTAGGGCACATAACGCTGAATTAGAGAACACGCTGGTTGCTTACAGAGCCCACGCGGCGAAGCTGGACGAGAGGCTGAGGACTCTCCAGTGGACCAACGCTTCTCTGAGGGCGGCGCTGCACCAAGCGGCCCTTCACGGCGGAGGGAATGGGAGGCCGCGCACGGAACCACCGCACGGCGTGCTGTTAGAGGAGGACGCCCAGTCGTCGTCGGTTGATCCAGAGCAGTCTGACCCTGTTAGGATCAAGTGCAGGCTTTGCGGCCGCCGGAATGCGACCGTGTTGCTCATGCCTTGCCGCCATCTCTGCCTTTGTAAGCGGTGTGAGGCGTTTGTCAATCGGTGCCCGGCTTGCGCGAAGGAGTTCCTGTACGACGTGGACGTTAATTTTTCCGGCTGAATAGCCACAAATTGTATACGGCGTGATTATTATTGATTTGAAAAAGAAAAAAAAATTGTAGCCCAAAGTTATATAGTACATTTGGGGTACAATTTATATCATAACAACTTATATAATAAATTATTGCCTATTAAGAGGATGTTAAAGATGTTATACTTTTTAATCATAGTGTGATAACATTATACAATGTTGAGTTATACATAGTACATAATACGATTGTACTTATATTGCCAATGTGATTTATTTGATCGCGTTTTATTTATTAATCCATTAATAAATTGTTTTAAAAATAATGTTAAATTTATTTGCAAATTTTCCAAAACTGGCTTTTTAAATATATACTGTATTTACTTAGGCTTTTCTCTCTCTAGGGTTGCCTCACGCAACTCCTAGTTTTCGCCTGCCTTCGAGTCTATCGAAGGGCATGTTGGATTGGCCGGTTTGGGCGGCGTTTTGGAGGCAGATCGAGGGCGAACGGATTGGCGGGTAAGGACGGCTACTTTGATTATTTAATGAGGGCAATTGGAGGCAAGGTAGGTAGCGGTTTCGACGAACAGTCTAGGAGGACGGATACAGTGCAGGCAGCGACTGTGTTTTCGAAACGGTGAACAGCGATGGTGTGGCGGCGGAGTAATAGGTGATGAGCATGGAAAACTTTGTTGGTAGGTATAAACAAATGGCGATCGGGGCTGAGGAGGAGGAATTGGACCTCGATGAGTTTGAAGCCGAGGGAGCTCCGGTGGAGGTGGGTTCGGCAGGCTTTGTGGTGATCGGCCAGATTTTGACGGACAGAAAGGTCAGATTCCCAGACCTTAAAGAGATGATGCTCTCGCTTTGGTGGCCGGGGAAGGGTATGTGAGAATGTCAGTTAAAGAAATTGGTGAAAAGAGGTACCTATTTACTTTTCATCATCGCTTTGATATGATGTGTGTGCTTGAAGGAGGCCCATGGCAATTTGAGTGTAGTCTACTGATGTTAAAAGAGGATATGCCTGATGATATCCCACACAAAATTATTTTAAATGAGACTGAGTTTTGGGTTCAGATTCATAATGTTCCGTATAGTCTTGTACGTTAATCTGGGTACTGCTAGGCGTGTGGGAAATTTAATAGGAGAATTTATAAAATATGATGACAATCAGAAGAGTGATAAATTAGAGCCATATATGCGGGTTAGGGTTCTTATGAAGGTGGATAAATCGCTGAAAAAGGGGACAAATCTGAAAAAAGATGACAAAAGTTTTTGGGTAGATTTCAAATATGAAAGACTGCCCAACTTTTGTTTCATTTGTGTTTTGGTTGGACATTCAGATAATTTTTGTCCTCTAAAATCTAAATTATGAAGAAGACTTAGTTTTAGAAAAAAGATTTGGAATCCATCTTAGAGCAGGAAGCGGGGTGAAGACCCGCCCAACAGGAGGTAATAAATGGCTCCTGGAGGGTTCATCGAGCTCTGGCAGAATTGGTGGATATACAGGGGCATATTAATCAGAAGAGAAGCTGGGTGAAAAGGAGAAAGAGGCAACAACTGAATCAACCCAAAGCATTACCAAAGGAGGAGGGAAGGAGTCAAAAGAAGAGGTTTCGAAGAGGAGGAAGGCCAGGTTTGGGAGACTCGGATAGAGAAGGTCCACGGAGAGGACAACACGACTTTGGACGGGGCAAAAAACGGGAAGGAGGCGGGCTTTGCTCTTTAAGCCTGCCGAAGCTGCTGACGAGAGTATGGAGGTCGCAAGTCCGAGGGACTGTTCGAGTTTGCTGGCTGAGACAAAAGTCTTTTATTTTTGGGAAAACTGTCAAATAGGTCCTCGAACTTTCATAAAAAGGTTAAATAAGTCCTTATATAGGAGGCTCTGTCCGGCCATCGCGATTTGGGGCGGTCCCCGGTGGGATTTTTGATGAATTTTTTTTAGCATCGTATTCATCAAGTCTAGTTTACTCATACCAAATGTCAGCTAAAACTTCAATCGGGAATGCAATCAAAAATGTGGAGTTATCTTCAAGAATTAATTTGAATGCGTTCCCGATTGAAGTTTTAGCTGAAATTTGGTATGAGTAAACAACTTGATGAATAAGATGCTAAAAAAAATTCATCAAAAAATTCCACCGGTAACCATCCCAAATCGCGATGGCCGGACAGGGCATCCTATATGAGGACTTATTAGACCTTTTTATGAAAGTTCGAGGACCTATTTGACAGTTTTCCCTTTATTTTTTGTTTTATTTGCTTTTTCAGTGATTGTTATTTCTGTTTTGCTGTTTATTTTTTCTTTAGTGTTCCTGATTGTATGTCGTTGATTTTGGATGTGGGGGATGAGAGGAATACGGTGACCGTTCTTGGCTTTTGGGTTCCCATTTATGGATCAGCGAATTATATTGCTTCTTTGGAGGTGATTTATTCTGAGTCTGGTTCACGGAACAACGGTTGTCTGATTTCATTTTGTCATTTTACCCATACTCTGAATTATGTGTTATCAATATAAGACGAATTCTTCCAAAAAAACATATATTTACTTATATATAGAAAATAATGTATATTAATGATCAGAGTTATACATTGGCAAATGTGAATTACATTTATTTAAGACTGGATAAAGTATATATGTATGGATTACTTTATATTTTAGGAAAATTTATTTAAATTTTTTAACGTGCATTATTAAGTTTCTTTAAACAATTATAAGGAAAATGCTAGGGGTACACAAGTTGTACACAACTTGTACACACAATGTCGGTCACAGACAATTGGTACGGAGTTGCCTATGACCACAGACAAGAGTAGTCTGTGTACACAGACAAATTTTGTCTGTTTCCACAGATATTTACTTTTTTGTAAAAAGTACTTGTCAGTGTCAGGCGGCTCTCAGTGTACTTTTTACAAAAAAGTAAATGTCTGTGGAAACAGAAAAAATTTGTCTGTGTACACAGACAACTCTTGTATGTGGTCACAGGCAACTCCGTACCAATTGTCTGTGACCGACATTGTGTGTACAAGTTGTGTACAACTTGTGTACCCCTAGCATTTTCCTTATATTAATGTTTTGTGTACACATCCGCTTACACGCCGGCTGACACACTCATTCTTTTTAGGTAGATTTTATGGTACCCATAAGGTACCATACATTTGTCCACATGGACCAATGAGAATGTAGCAGTTGAATTATTTAAATCTAAATTAAAAATGATAAAGTGATGTGGTCCAATCAAATGAATGATAGGTACGGGACCCCATTTTTTAAAAGGGTACTGGAGTTGTCACCTTCTTTTTATCTGTGCAAAGTCAATTGTTTTTCATTCTTATAAAGAAAACTACATGTGTTCCCGAAAGGCCGAAAAAAGTTATTATCATTGGCACATAGAATTCACTGTTTTGGATCCTAACCATTTTTAATATACGTCAAATGGGGTGAAAAAAATCATTTTCATAATTTAAATTTAATACTTGTATCCTTATATCTGTTTTTCTGGATTTTTATCACTCCATAGTAGAGTCGAAAGTGGATTTCACACAAATTCATTTGCATTCCTGCATTTACAATATTTTGATACTCAATATTATTTCTTAAACAAATTCAACTGCATTGAGTCAATGAAATTTGATCTTTGCTTAGAGCATCTCCAATGCAAGGGTGTGGTCTCTTACACACCCTTACACATGGGTCCCATTTTTTATCTCACAAATTTTATGTGTAGGACCCACATATTTCCCAATTTATTTTCATTTTCATTTTTTATATCACTTTTAACCCACTTTTCATCAACTTTTCCTCCTCGAATCCCGTGTAAGGTCCATATATGGACCTTGTCATAGACCTTGGTCCATTTTTACCTCTATCTCTCTCCTCTTTTTCATTTTTCCCTACACACCACTTCATCCCAATATTTATTCTATCTCTATCTCTCTCCTATGCCACATCACATGCAATGCACCCTCCCATTCGAGATGCTCTTAACATTATGGCCGGTGAAGCAATATCCACCATTCCTATCCACAAGTGCAAAAACTCCGTTTCGAGGCGTTTATTTTTTGACACGTGCGGCGCTTTATGGCGCCTCCAATGACTAGTGACGCAAAGTCTTTTTAAAGGCGCTTCTCTAAACGAAAGCGCCTCCAATATATATATATATATATTTTTTTTTTTTTTTTTCGCTGGGCGTGCGGCGCTTATTTGACAAAAAACGCCTTTAATTTTGAAATTTTGTGGGACGCGTGCGGCGCTTTTTTGCTATAAAGCGCCTCTAAATTCAAAATTCGATTTGGCGCGCGCGGCGCTTCTTTGCTGAAAGCGCCTCTAAATGACTTTAAGGGCTGAACAAAACGGTTTAAAATTTAAAATTAACGGATACTTTTAGAGGGCTTAACATTTTATTTAATTAAGAGCTACAATATTAAAAATTCAACTACATTGTTCGGTTTATAATACATAAAACTAACTCCACACAATCAAATGTATCCAACAAAAACAATACCATATCATATATCAAGCGCATAATGCAGAATCAAGTACTTGTCTAATTAAACATCCAATCAACATTCATACAACATTCAAATTAGAATCAAGTACTTGCTTAATTAAACATCCAATCAACATTCATACAACATACAAATTGTTTTCCTAAATAGTTTTTCCTCAAGTTTGCAATACTACATCAAGAAAGTATCTTGACCATACATTTCTGATATCATTGAACTCTGCTAATGTATATGGTTCACTTCTTGAACGCCATACCTGAAATGTTTATTGGAATGATCACAAATATATTCAAAATTAATTACAATACAATAATGTATATGTAATAAATAACTTTGCAAGCTCACAATTTATTCATACATGTCCAATATCACGATTCTCAGGGTATGATATTATTTCCCACATGAACCTCATGACATAATATCCACATTCAGTACTTCCGGTTTGTCGTGCAACCTGTATAATTCATAAATATGTAAGAATCCTTAAATTATTCCTATATCAAATTAATCAATTGGCATTGTGTTTAAGCAAGAAAAAACACTAATGATTTCTAACATTTCAACTAAGTTTATAGTTGATAATACAAATTAGGCAATAAGAAAAGCAATCTTCCAAATTCTGAAATCAACAACTTCCTTCGAGAGTAGCAGGCCATTTGCAAAATAGTCCGCACTAAGCTAAGAGACACTAAAATTATATGATCAACTATAAACTTAGATGCAAATCTATGAGAGGGCTTATTAGTAACTGCTCTTTAAGTTCACCAATA